TAATTTTTGCACTTGATATTACAACTTTCTGTCTTTTTGTTCTTATAGAAATAAAAAAAATTGACTTTTTAAATGGTGGAGAAATTATGTTTCTGGAATGGCTTCTGTTTAGTGGCTATATGTCTAAGGATAGTGCAATCAAGGTTACTTTACCCAAACATCATTTCTTTGCAAGAATTAGTTAGGGTTTCTGCCTACCTAGCTGCCTGCCTACCTATATGTTTCTAAGAATATTTATCTGTGAAGACAAACATTAGTAGTTCTTTATAAAGCCATTGGTGAAAAGGTCTCTTCTTTTAATTCATCTTGTACTATTGCATAAATTTTTTTCTTTTAACTAGCTTCTTATATTTTCATTCTAGAGTAATATTAGCAAGGAAGCCAAGCTCAATTTATTGAGAATTGTCCAGAGTGACAATGGCATGAAATTTGCATATCTGCAGAAGGGAAATGAACTATGGGTTATTAGCTTTAAGTAAAATGGGATATTGCTTTACCAAGAAAAGGCAGTATCACCCCACAAGGAGAAAGAGGGATGGCTGCTCATGTAGGGGGACCCGAGGTCACCGAAAGACTACTTCTAGAGTCATATGTTTGCATCTCTGGAAACATATTGTTGCGGAAGAAAATATAGTCCTTGGGAGGAATGCAGCTTGCTAATCTAACAAGTGTAGTAAAATGTCTTGTCCAGAGCACACACTCAAGCTACTATTAAGTGAACACAGCAGTGTCAGGTGGCCCGTGAGACAGTTGTCCTCTTGGGAGCAGGACTGAGGCAGTGGAGATGCCTTCCACTGGGCTCCTCCGGCACCGCGGCTCTGCCCATCCGCCAGTCATTTCCCTGCTTGTGTCCCTCTCTAGAGTGGGAGTTCTTTAGGGGAAGGGCTGCCTTTAATCTCCACAGGCCTTGCACCCACTCTAGTGCCTGTGACATACTGTGACACGTTGTCGGACCCAGCCAGCACTAACTATGTATGAGGGCGTAACTGAATGAGTGGATGTAGTTGTGACTGGCTTGGGATGGGAGAGGAGGTTGAGTGTAGCCCAGGGTGCTGGTCCAGTTTAGGTTCTAGGGCACCTGAAGACAAGGAAGAAAGGAGAAAGGCCCTAAGGGCAAGAAAAAATTTTGCAAAAATATCATGATTTTATTCAGTGTCCAAGAGTCAGTATATTGTTTTATTAAAATAAGCTTTTTATGGTAAAGTATTCAAGGAAGGGCTTATGTTTTACTCAATAGCTCCTTGTTCATTCTACGATGTCTTCATTCTGAGTTTTGGCTCAAACTTTTCCCTTAATATGGTCTCTGTCAAGCCTTCCTTCCCACTCTGTACTCCATCTGTGCTGTCCTCACACCATGCTGTACAGCTGATCACAGGGGGGCCGAGAGGGCAGGGCGCGGGGAAGCACGCAGTTCTGTGTGCAGGTCCTACCTACATCACAACGTGCTATCTTTGAGTCCCAGAGCAAATCATGCTGCTTCTCTGAATCTTCGTTTCCTCATCTTAATAAAATGTTTCTTTGAGCTTTGGTTTTCTCATCTTCAGTAAAACCTACCTTGTGGGATCATTTTAAGGGATAAATAACATAAAATATATAAGGTCAATAGTACTGGACCTAGCAAGTGGGAGGCACCCAGTAAAGGGTTGGTGTTTCTCCATCCATTCATCCATCTCTCAGCCTGGTAGGTCAGAACTTACCTCTCCTTCTTCCCCAATTTAACTCATGTTTACTGATCCTTTGGGGCCAGTTCAAAGATCACTGTTTCCACAAAATTTTCCCTCCCCGTTGAAACTAATCTTTCCTACTCCTGTCGTCTGTCATCTTCTTCTGCATACTTATGGTACTTATCGCTTCCTTCCTGGTGGCCCAGAGATTGCTGTGTTTTGTTTCTCTGCCTGTCTATAGTCTATAAGTTCCATGGGCGCCAATTGCTTATCTTTTAATCTTTTCCCAAAGCACCTAGCAGAGTAGCTCTCACAGAGGAAGTGCTAAAATAACAAACTGATATGTGCAGAACAATTTTCTATATTTAGGAAATCATCACTCGATTTCTCTTAGGATGGGGTGGCATATATAATCCATCTTTCCATTTTACTCATTTTAGGGAAGAAAAACAGGCCTCACTGCAAGTAGCTGACATTACCCAACATCCAGAGAATTCCCTGAGAATACTTACAAATAATGACTAGTCACCTGGGCAATTACAATAAAGGTTTGCTCGAAGGCTAGTCACATTCCTAAAATTGTGAAAAGAAATGATTAAGCAGAGGGGAATTTTTATTGAAGGCTAGGTAGTCTACTATTGCCCAAAACATCTTCATCTTAATTATACTTCCTTAAATTGCACAACATGGAAGTGATATAAATCACAGTTATTAATATTTTCCATAGGAGGGGAGAGGCCTCTGACAGTTTCAAGAAGTCCCGCATGGCAGCTGCCAGGTCTCAGGTCCCTGAGCTAGTGATGAGCCTTTTAGATGAAATCTCCAACTTAGGTTTAAGTCAAGCCTGGCTTGTCAAGGGTGCAGCTGCCAAAGGGCATGGTTTGATGTGTCTCGATGGAGACCTTCTGTTCCAAAGTATCCTCTCTATGAGTACTGAGAAAGACTGCTATGGGTTAAAAGGTTAATCTTACAGAGGTTCTTATTCCAGGTGAAAGATAACACCTGAATCGGCATTTCCAAAACAGCCCCACACCAGGTTCCATGGAAGGATGGGTTCTAGCCAAAGAAGTCTGGGAAGTACTGTGAACTCCATTCCTCCTTGCGGCTCGCTGTGTGCCCCAGTGCACAGTAGTACCAACAGCTCCAAGGCACATGGTGAAGAAGCCTGTTCAGCTTAACTTAGAGGCTCTCCCACTTATTTAACCCTGGAATCAACCTTGCTTTTTTTCTTTCTGGGTTGTTACAAAATTCCTAGTGACATCACTTGAGACTAGTATTTCATAGAATGCACTTTTAAAATGCTGTCTTGGTGACCATTAGCTGTCACTGTGATGAGGATACACGTTCAGCTAAGAACAGAGCACAGAGGGGTATTCATGAAGGGATCGGAAAGTCAAGAGAAGAAATGTTTAAGGTGACCGGCGAGGGCCCTTGAACACAATTTCTCATTGTGCCAGGGCCAGGACCAACCATGGTTATCACTGCAGACATGATTTTGACTTTGATTTCCTGCCTCAAAAGCCCAGCCATTATCAAGGGAAATCATCAGAGTGGAAGTACCATTGTTGCAACTTCATGTGATCTGGGGTAGGGAGGAGGAGAAAGGGGACATTTGGACAGCAATGCTTGCTCAACTGGAGATGAAAAGAGGAAAGAAAGAAATGGGAGAAAGGAGAGATGGGGCAACTGAGGCAACAAGGAGGCAGAAGCTGCCCTGGCTACGGGACCCTAAGGGTGGAAGGCAAAGGAGAGAATGGAGTAAAGAAAGTGACAGGTCATGACAGGTCAGGGAGAAGCTAACCAACCTACCTGCCACCTGAGCCGTGGAACCGAGGCTGGGGCTCGGGAGATACTAGAGGACTAATCAAATCATAAAGTCAGTGAATCTCAAGATTTGGCTTCTCAAGCCAATTACCACTAAAAATCAAAGTGATCGGAAGACATAGAATGAAAAGAACAGCTGGGACAGGGGCCTTCTTTTACGGTGTGGGTTGCTCTTTCTATCCTCTCACTGGTGGGACACTTATTCTCATAGGTAGTTTGTGCCCTTGGGGCTCTGACCCCCAAAGGGTCTGCATTTCCCCAGGTTGTTGGGAGGGCCCTGGGGTACAAGAGGCCCAGTCCGAGACCCTAATCCTCATGGCTGCCGCTTTAGGGGACATCACAGGGATGACAGCAGAGAAGGACCTCGGTGCTGTGCAGAAGCCGGAGTGGTGGGGGGCTGCGAAGGGGCTTCCCCTTTCTAAGGGCCGTCAGATGTTCTTGCATGCAAAGCAGCTAGGAAATCTTTGGCAAGCTGAGGCAACTTAGAAACACTAGAAGCTGAAAACAAGATATGCAACACATTTGGGAGTTCTCTGTCAATGCTGAGGGATAAAAATAGTTGATTCCCCTGCTAGGGCACCTTCTGATTTCTTGTCAATATCAGTGTAAAACTCATGTAAAAACCTCAAATGTCTTCATAACTTATATATACTAGTTATTATTCAAAAGGTGGTGGTATGTGTGGGGTGAGATGGGGGATAGGGCAATCGGATGACCCCCTTTACGAGAATGCAAAATTTCCAAATTGCTGTCCCATGGCGAACTGATTCCAGAACAGTGATTCTGACTGGGGCAAGGTTGTGCTCTAGGATAGTTCCTGGAATTCATTAGTAAATACATTTAAGAATAAATCTCTGTCAGATTTCACTTACCCACAGGCAACGGTTAAAATGACATGCTCAAGCTCTCAGAGGGTGCATCTCAATATATACAATTCTACTGGCTGGAATGGTGACCCTGGGCTCCCACAGTAGTGCCCTTAGACGGGTCAACTGGAACTGCGGGAGCTGAGAGCGTGAGCCTACAGCCTCCTGAGGCAGAAACAGGTCTCTAGCTGGTGTGGGGTCTCGGAATAACTTCAGCTTGCTTAGTGCTTTGCATAAATCAGAATATCAAAGGAATCTCTTCCCCTCTCTGAAATTAAGGGCATATTATAAGAGTGTTGGTTGGATGTGTTTTTATATGTTGTTGTGAACATGTGGAGGAACCAATGCTTACACAGTAGGCGTGTGCTTGCTTTTACATTGCTGACACCATTTCTTTGAGGGTGTTACACAATTGAGATGGCTTGGATCATCTGAATGGAATAACATGATTACCCATGGTATTGCACGTCTCCAATTCCAAATAAATGTGATGGCAAAAACTAGACAAAAACGCGAAAAGAATAATAAATCACACAATGTCATTGAAGTCATGCAAAGAGGAAAAAAGAGACTTAAAAAATGGGCAAGCAACAGACACCGTAAATGAAAAAAAAGCCAATGCATACAATTCTAAAATCATTCTTACCTTCTTCAGTCATTGTGTCATAATATTTTAGTTTTCCATATGATCCAAGTTCTACAACATCACAGTAAAAGACACAAAGATAAGGAACGAGCTGTAATGCAAGAACTTTGTTTTTACACATTCTTAATTAATCAGATTCAGAGTTATACTGTCAAATTCCTCAATCGTAACTATATAGAGATGTGCAAACATGGGCCATGTGGCAGACAGTTTTCACGTCCCGTTTTCAGAAATCACTTAAAATATATTATTCTACTGTGGATAAGATGTTGCCCTGCATTACAGAATAGGACACAGTGATTTTAACATTTGATGAAACAGAATACTTGGCAAAGATAACTTCATACCAGGTTTAGCCTAGCCCTATAATTTTTATAGAGGTGACATTCCAAGAGGAAGGGCTGAATGAGGACAATGTCCGGGCTCACTCAGGCTTGTGAACACCAGATTCCTTGACATGGAACAGCAGTCCTAGAAGTTCATGTCATGGCTCTTCTGCAATAGAACAACTTCTTAGAGATTAAGGAAGCCTACCTGGCAACACCAACAATGAAAAACCCTTTATATTTCCATCTAACATTTTAGACAAAAAACACTGAATACCATGGGTGCAGCATATTTGGAGGAGCTGTGAAAAGTGCAGAGTACTCTAGGCGGAAGAGGGAAGAGTATTTCCAGGGAAGACCACCTGGATCTGACAGGTGACAAAGCAGCCACAACTCCCAGATCAAGGCGTCACGTGCTGCTTGTAGACCACAGGTGGCAGGAGGTGACTAGCAGCCTCTCCTGTGTGCGGATCATGAAAAGACTCCCTGTAATGGAAACCACTGGCAGAAAGCGAGCTGTCCTGGGTCAGCTGCTCAGAGTGCAGCTGGGGCAGCTTGGGGTGTGCGGTGAGGAGGGATGGATGCACCATTTCTGTTTTTTTAACTTCGCTTCTGAAATAGAAACTTTATTATTGTTCATCTGAAAATTCCAGATTTTTAAAACAACATTGTGAACAAATTAAAAATAATATATTTTTTTCTGGTTGTAATAACACTTTCCCAATAAACTTCAAGAAATTAATTAGACTTGAGAGATACCCCTGTGATTCTGCAGAAAGCTTCCATGACTCATTAACTTGGGCAGCCATGGAAAATCCACATATGAATCAACTAATAATTGATGGGCTTTATGTTCGAGATGAAAGCTCTAGATTAATACACAATGATATTCTTCTATTTTTATATTTCTGTTATGCATTCTATACATATTCTTTTTCCATGTGCCTAAAATTTTACCTAAAGCTAATTTTAACACATCAGTCCCAAAATATGCTTTGGGCAGAAAAATGATCTTATCTTTATGTTTCTGCAAAAAGTGGCCTATTCTGGATTTTGTCAGATGCTTGACAAAGGATGTAAATGCTTCAATGAAAAACTGAATTTTGTGTAAATAACAAGTTTTTTTAAAACATGGCTTCTGGGGATTGCCTTCAGTGAAATATATAATTTTTTTCTGGTATTTTAAGAATAGTAGTCTATTACATACATGATGCTGCACAAGTATGGAATTCTTAAAATATCTAAATACTTTCATAAATATTAAACATGTGCTGATGGTGGCTTTATGCATAATATATGTGTGCATGTATGGGTAGTCTTGCAGTAAATTGGTGGATTATGTCAGCCAACTAATTTTCTTGTAACCTCTACTCCTTCTCTGAGGTAAAGCAGCAGAATCAGCAGCTAAGATTCTCTAGCATTTGCTCAGGAAACAGAACGTGGGTGGCTCTGTGTTCAAAACGGGGTGTAAACCATATTCTATGTAGTGAAGATGCACCATTGCATTTTAATGAATCTTTTTAGCTGCAACCTCTGTGTGCACACACTTGTTTTCCTGTATTAATCCCAAGTTCTCAAACATCTGCTTGTGGCAGAAGGGATTATTCTTTACCTTGTCTTTTGTGGAACCAGGTATAAATAAATACAATCATATTCTTTAAATATTTTATTTTTACGTGGTCAAAATTGGAACTGTTTGTGTCTGGTATAGCTCACACATTCTCACTGCTATGACAATGTCTAGATTGTTTCTCAGTTGCTTCCTTGGATGGTGAATGGGACAGAGGGACAAGAACTGAACAGAACATATCAAGAAATAGACTAAAAATGGTGGAAGAGAAGGAATAAGAGTAGTGAAAAACTGAATAGCAAAGAGATGAGGTAGCAACGCAAACCACAGTGAGGAAGGAGGGCAAGGGGACAGTACCTGCCCAAGTGAAAGGAACTGTGTTTGTTGCTTACTAAAGAGAAGGCAGAGAAGAATGTGAAGAAAACCAGCCTGCTAGAACATGGTCTTTTTTTATTGTTTACCTTTGTTTTTAATGTAATTTAATTGTACTAATTTTTAATAACACTGTTTAACAGTCAACTTGCAAAATTCCTGAAAATTTAGCAGTTTGGCTCTGGCACATCATTGGTTTTTGGTGCCCATTGATATGGCCTTTGTGTGTAGAAAAGCCTATTTATTTATTTTGTTTATTTTTTATTTTTAAGTATATTTTGTTGATTATGTTTTTACAGTTGTCCCAATTTTTTCCCCTTTGCCCCCGGTCCAACTGATACCTCCCTCCCCTCCAGCAATCCCAACTTAGTTCATGTCTATGAGCCACATATATTAGTTCTTTGGCTTCTCCATTTCTTATACTATTCTTAATATCCTCCTGTCTATTTTGTCCCTACCAATTATGTTTTTTAATCTCTGCACCTATCTCCCCATTCTCCCTCTTCTCTCTCCCCCACATTGTTCCCTCTCTGACTCCTATTCCACATACAGTACCTCTGACTCCTATTCCACATACAGTGCCACAGCACAGTGAAGTGGGTTGTTCCACCCTGGCGGATGTCTAAGGCTCCGCCCCATACAATGTAATAGGTGCGCCAAGACAAAGAAATATGGCCCAAATGAAGGAACAGATCAAAACTCCAGAAAAAGAGCTAAGTGAAGAGGAGATAGCCAATCTATCAGATGCAGAGTTCAAATCACTGGTAATCAGGATGCTCACAGAAATGATTTACAGTTGCAAAACAGAATAAATGAGGGCTATACAAAATGGAACAAAGTAAAATATACAGGGAACTAACAATGAAAGGAAGGAAACTGAGACTTAAATCAATGATTTGTAACAGAAGGAAGAAATAAACACTCAACTAGAATAGAATGAAGAAACAAGAATTCAAAAAAATGAGGAGACGATAAGGAACCTCTGAGACAACTTTAAACATTGCAACATATGAATCATACGGGTGCCAGAAGGAGAAGAGGAAGAGCAAGAAATTGAAACCTTATTTGAACAAATAATGGAGGAAAACTTCCCCAATCTGGTAAAGGAAATAGACATGCAAGTCCAGGAAGCTCAGAGAATCTGAAACAAGTTCGACCCAAGGAGGAACACATCAAGATACATCATAATTGTTATCCAAGATTAAGGATAAGGAGATAACCTTAAAAGCAGCAAGAGAAAAGGAGACAGTTACCTACAAAGGGGTTCCCATAAGACTATCAGCGGATTTCTCATAAGAAACCTTCCAGGCAAGAAAGAAGTATTCAAAATCATGAAAGGCAAGGACTTACATCCAAGATTACTCAATCCAGCAAAGCTATCACTTAGAATGTAAGGACAGATAAAGTGCTTCCCAGATAAGGTAAAGTTAAAGGAGTTCATCATTACCAAGCTGTTGTTATATTAAATGTTAAAGGGACTTATCTAAGAAAAAGAAGATCAAAAACTGTGAACAGTAAAATGACAACAAACTCACAACTATCAACAACTGAACCAAATAACAAAAACAGAAACAAAAACAAAAACAAACTAGGCCAACAACTAGAACAGGAACAGAATCACAGAAATGGATATCACATAGAGGGTTATCAGCGAGGAGGGGGAAGGGGAGAATGGGGAAAAGGTACAGGGAATAAGAATCATAATTGGTAGGTACACAATAGACAGGGGGAGGTTTGGAATAGCATAGGAAATGGAGAAGCCAAAGAACTTATATGTACAACTCATGGACATGAGCTAAGGTGGAGAATTCTGGAAGGAGGGAAGGTGCAGGGTGGAGGGGGATATAGGGGAGAAAAAAAAATGGGTCAACTGTAACAGCATAATCAATAAAATATAGTTAAAAAATAAAAAAATAGTGCCCTGGCTGATGTGGCCCAGTGGGTTGAGTGCCGGCCTGTGAACCAAAGGGTCACTGGTTTGATTCCCTGTTAGGGCACATGCTCGGGTTGCAGGGCAGGTTCCCAGTTGGGGGCATGCGAGAGGCAACCAGACATTGATGTTTCTCTCACTCCCTCTCTTCCCCTTTCTAAGTAAATAAATAAATAAAATTTTTTTAAAAATTAAAAAAAAGAAGTACAAATAGGTAGTTACCGAGTAGCCATGGGGAAGTAAAGTACAGTATAGAAGTAGCCAAAGAACTTACATGCATGACACATGGACATGAACAACAGTGTGGGAATTGCCCAGGAGAGCAGGGGGTGCTGGATGGAGGGGGACAAAGGGAGAAAAATCAGGACAACTGTAATAGCATAATCAATAAAATATATTTAAAAATTCAGTGGTGGCGCAATCGGGTGAATAGGGAGGGTCGGGCACGAAGTCATGCCTTTTTTGGTCGAAAAACACTGAACACTCAGTGTGGTTGTGGGCAGGTATGCTCATAAATCACTCATTATGAAAAGGGAAAATACATTGAGAGAGTCTTCAAAAAAATTCACTGCAGCCAAATGCAGCCTCTCACAACAACACTAGGTGGTACATTGGTATACATGGGTTCCTAGAACAGTCACCTAGTGGGAGAAGAATGTACTACAGGGGCATGCCCTTCAGAATATAATTCCATTTTTTTTTGGTACCCTTTTGTACAACAAAAGTCAATAGAAGCATCTATGCTGAGTTTGTTTAATTAAAATGAAAAGCAGAGGTAGAGAAATAAATGAGAATAAGTATTTATTACTTAAGTGGCTGTTGGTAAAATGATTAACTTGGTTTTTTTTTTTAA